TAAAACTTTTTTTATAATTCAAAAATCTCATGAAATTGCACAAAATAGCATCTTTGCGTTGTTTTTTGATTATAAAAAAAGTTTTATCAGACAAATTAAAAATTCATCCATAGAAAATGTAGAGAAAATAATTGCGGTTTTTAAAAAAAATGAAAAATGACCATTCTTGACATTTTTTCTTCCGGAAAACGACCATTCATGAATTTATAACCACTAATTATTTTTTAAAGAATTATTTGAATCATCTTGGAACTCCACAAAATCAGATAAAAAATTCTGAAATTATGGTTTTAGACCTGTAATTGTGATCGCGCCAAACTTTTTTTCTGTAGATCAAAAATTAATTTGCAGTTCGGAATTGTTCTGTGGGAGAGCGTGCCTAATTAAAAAAAAATTCAAAAATCAAATAAATCAGTGTCCCTACCAATCACCATCCTCTCTGACAACCTTAACAATTTGATCTTGCGCTACAGAACACCGTGTCTCGGGATCTTGTGTCGCGTTCGAGATTCGTACCCATGATAAGAATTGGGACATCTGGAAGAATAATTTTTTAATTTTCTAGAAAATTCTTTTTGGGTTTGAAAATTAGAAGGTTCGGTTAGATTAGGTTTGGTTTAGTTAGACAAAATGGTGATTGAATTTCATAACTAAAGGGAAAATAAACAGAACGAACTAAAAACAAACAATTAGTAAGCGACCGATTTTAGATCAAAATTAGAGGTTACGTTTACTGATTTGCCTAGCTAAAACTCCCAAAAATTCTTTAGAAAAAAAGAAGAGAAAAATCGATAAAAATAGAAGGCGTCGGGGTCTCTCCGCCGCAGCTTCCTGCGAAGAGAGGCACAGGAAGTCAGCAAGTGCGCCCCATTGGACACCCCCTTGCACACGTCATCCTGTGTGCGGCTGCAGCTACTCAACGACTACACACACGCAAGAGAGATGAAATTGAGGGAATTAGATGGGGTCGGGAAGGGAGAAGCAGAAAAAAGGGATATAAGGGGGAAAAAGGAGAAGTAATAATAAATTCTGGATGAAGGACGTAAAAAATTGTGTGCATTTTTGCGTCGTGGTGTGTGTATTGTGTACTTGGGGAGAGGGCAGATGTTTTGGGTTTGGGTTAGGGGGAAATTAGGACTAAAAAATTGAAGGAAAAAGTTGGAATTTTAGAAATTTTGAGAAAAAAATTTAAAAATACGCGCACTTGGGTTCAAGCCAATGGGTCAGAAATCGCGCCCCAGTAAACGTGAGATTTTAGAAGAAATTCGCTGCTGAATTATGTGGCTGATGATCAAACTTTCAAACATTGCACGAAAAAATCACGCGTTGCAACTCCTTGATAAAAACTAATTAGGTAAAATCCATGTCAACTTGGAAATTATTAAATTTCTTCTGGCCCAAAAGAACCCAAGTGAATACGTTTAGTAAACAAAAATTTAAAGACACTTTCTTTCAAAATTTCCATAACAAAACGAAAACTCAAAAAAAGTTTTTGTCACAACGTTTTTTTTTTGCAAAAACTATACACTTATTAAACGATTCTTCAGAAAATAACAAAGCTAATTTCGTTGTTTTCCGGAAATTAAGTGTCACTAACTTTCTGAAAATAAATATACGATTTTTTTGTGAAAATTCTGAAACTGATAAAAAATGTTTTTTCTCGGTTTATGTCAACAAATAATGAGTAGACATATTTTTTTCAGTCATTGCTTATCAGATACATCAAAAGAAACTGGATTATTAGAAAAAACTAAAATTTATAAACTTATCATAATTTTGAAACAGGAAAAAATTTTGGGAAACTATTGACCCAATTTATCTTGGTTCATGTGGGAAACATCAAAAACTGTAAGAGAATCACCCTTTTTATGAATCGAACCAAAATTTCTATGAAATGTTTAAAACGGAACAATTATTGTCAAAAACGAAAAATCAAACATTTCAAAATGAAGATATGACTCTGAATTCAGTGGCACTTGATTGGTTTCAAGCGGTATATCTCATTCGGATGAAGTTGTCCGAAAACGTTGTCAACTGCAAAATTAAAACTCTATTTTTGTTTAAAACAGTTTCAAATTTTCAGACTTATACAACAAAATTTACTATATTTTGTAGGCATTCAAAGTTGACCAGTTTAAAGTTAAAATTAGCCACATATGTGGTTTGAATCAATTTTTCAAAAGTTTCTGATAAACGAGATGAAATAGTTGACAATAAAAAAGTAGCATCTATAAACTTTTTGATACAATGAAATCATCAAAATTGATAGAAATTTTTTTGAATGTTTCAGCTAATCATTAAAAGTGAAGTTATTTTAATCCTTCTTAATTTTCCCACGCACGATTGGAATTGAGTTTCACAAAATCCATATAACCATCAAAGCTACCACTTGCTTGATTCTCAAGTAATCTACTTCAACCCTTTTTTTTAAACTAGAAAAGTTGCTTTGGATTTTGTTGACTACTAGTTTCGCCGACAGATTTACACTTCATATGACAATGAAACAATAAATTTTTCGAAAAAAAATTATTTCTCTCAATATCAAATTCATACAGTATCGATCAAAAGTTTATTGATTTCTCTTGTTTTTAGTCGAAAATTTTCAACTTGGGATGTCAAAAAAATACAATAGACTTTTTTGAATAGTTAGACACTAACTTTCGAAAAATATACAATTTTTTGTGTGATTTCTGAAACGGATACATTTTTTACTATGATCGTATCAGCGATAAAGGATCAGAAATGTTTTTCAGTGATTGCTTATCAGTCAAAAAACTCAGCAAGTAATAAGCAACAGTTAAACTTGGTGAATTTAGGATGATTTTGAAATCGGGATTTTTTTTTGGAAAAGCAAGTCGTAGAAAGTCATGTAACATATTAAATATTCAAAATAAAATATTTTTGATGATAAACATTTTATCAGTTGATCATTTTTTGATATATTCAGAAAAACAATGTGGTAAAATAGATGATTATGAAGTCTGATAATTTATGTATTATTTATACAACAAAATCTACTATGTTTTGTAGGCTTCATAAATGACGATTTTGAAGTTTAAATATGCTATAAATGAGGTTTGATTTCAGAAATTTCATAATTGTCCCCAGAGAATTGGGAAAAAAGAAAAGTATTGATACAGTGCGCGTCATAATGATAGCGACACCGTCATAATGATAGCGACGATTCAGCATCCCAAAAAACATATGTGCCCCCTGAATCAAGTACTAGTCAAATGTATTAGGACTACAGTAACCGAAAGTCTGTCTGCACACCGCGTCATAATGATAGCACCACCCTGGAAAACGGAAAGTCTCATGTTATTTGCGAAATAAATTGCGATATTTTTGTTGGAATTTGTTGAAATAGTCTTAAAACAGTCTGTTTTGACAGTCTGAACAAAAATTAATGTCTCTATCCAAGTTTTAGAAAAATTTATTTTCAAACATTTTCGAACTTTTTTGGGTTTCTGGAATAAATCTTGAATAACTTTGCTCCTAGGTAACATTTTGAGCTGGAATTCGTAGGAAATATTTGTTCAGTGTTTTGGAGTGTCTACTAGTTGTTTTCATGCTATTCTGAGTCGTCGTTTGCAATTTGAGGAAAACCGAAATTTCGATAACGAGCCTCGAATTTCGGGGATACTGATTTTCTTTAAAAAGCTGAATTGGTCAAGAAAAAGTTATTTTTCTGTACGAAATCATAACTTCAAAAGCGATTTTGGTTACTGACAACATCTTTTGAACGTTTTACGCTTCTTTGAAAAACTTCATTTTTGGCATATTTTTTCAGTTCAAAGCTTGAGCTCAATTATGAGCTACCAGAGCTCATGAATGTCATGAACAGTTGCAACGTGACTACGAGCATTTTCAAGATATTTCCTATGAATTTCAGCTCAAAATTTTACCTAGGAGCAATGGTATTCAAGATTTATTCCAGAAACCCAAAAAAGTTCGAAAATGTTTGAAAATAAATTTTTTTTAAACTTGGAAAGAGTCATTAATTTTTGTCCAGACTGTTTTAAGACTATTTTAACAAATTCCAACAAAAATATCGCAATTTATTTCTCAAAAAAACATGACACTTTCCGTTTTCCAGGGTGGTGCTATCATTATGCGTTGTGCAGACAGACTTTCGGTTACTGTAGTCCTAATACATTTGACTACTACTTGATTCAGGGGGCACATATGTTTTTTGGGATGCTGAATCTAATGGCATTAGCCGTTTTTCTCCAAAATTTTTAGTTTTCCTGAAAACCACGAAAAATGGGGTGGTGCTATCATTATGGCGCGAACTGTATTATACAATGGGACTCCAAAAATATTTTTTCAAAAAACTTTTTATTCTTAAATTACCTTCATTACCACTTTTTTTTGAACCAGAATAGCTAAATTTTTTGTTCGGGATAATTACTAATTTTGTCTAAAATGTTATTCTTGAGCGTACTTGCAAAATCAGGGCCCAGCCCGCGGGCCTGGCTGGGCCAGAGATTTTCAGGGCCTGGCCCGGCCCGAGCACGTGACTCCTTCGCCCGGCCCGGCCCGGCGGGACCGGGTTAAAGTCTGAAAAAAATTTAAATTTCAGAAAAATTTTAAATTTTTTTCTGTTGACCCCAAAATTTTTTTTGAAAAGTCAGGAAAATTTTTTTTCTGAAAACCCGGGTCGGGTACTGAAATTCTGAAAATAAGCCGGCCCGGTCCGTTGCAAGTATGCTCTTAAGATAACATTGAAACACTAAAATTTCAGATGAAACTTAATTTTAAAAATCTAATTCATACAGTATCGACCAGAAGTCGATTTATTTTATCGAATTCGGATGTCTATAAAAAAGACTATACTTCTTTTTTTGGATGAGAAAGAAAGATCGAAGGGTAATATCAGAATTGTGAGTCGAACTACAATTTCTATCACATTTCTGAAATTGAAACTTTATCGTCGAAACGGAAATTTTATTTTCTGAAAGCTGATCATTATCGTTCAAAAACTACAGATCATAACTAAAATCAGTTTTCATCGATGGAATTTTTTAATTTTTTCCAGTTTCATTAGGTTTGTATAATAATGTCACTTTTAAATCTATAACTAAAATTCATATACATTTCAAAAAATCAATCCGATTCTTTGTGGAAAATTTGAAACGAATAAAACTTTGCTTTCTTTGTGTCAAAAAAATCACCAGGCATGTCTTTTTTCAGTGATTACTTATCGGATTCATCGGCTAAACAACGTACATTATCAACAACTCAAATTGTTAAACTTATGATGATTTTGAAATGGGGAAAGTTTTCTGAAAAAAGTTGACCCGATTTATCTCGGTTCCTGCAGGAAATATCAGAATGTGATCAATTGACAAAATATCTTTGATATTATGATAAGGGTTTTGACCGTTGATCACTGTTGATATTTTTGATAAGAGCCGAGATAAATTGGCTCAAAATTGATAACATACATGTTGAGATAGGTAGAGAAATTAGACTAGAAGCCATCAAACTTCAAAAATAATTAACTTGGTTTAGAAAAAAATTTAGTACTGTTCAACCACCAAAATCAAAAAAAAATTAAAAGGTAGAAAAGAAAAACATGGAATGAAAAAATGAGAAAACTACTAAATTTGTAACCTAGACGAAATAGCAATTTTTATGTTTTGAAAACTTTTTTTTCCAATTTCACAAACTCGATAAGAACAATTCTTCTCAAAATCGACAATAATCCATAACGAAAGACAACGGCAAATTTTTATGAATGACTGAGGATTTTATTTGGTCAACTTTGAATCAATTTATCTCGCTTCCTGTGAAAGATTTGGAAAAAAGAATACTGATAAAATAATTTCGATTTCATCTTTAAACATTTTGTTAGTTAACCACTTTTCGATATCTTCGACAGGAACCGAGATAAATTGGGTCAATTTTTTTCCAAAAAAATTCTCCGTTTCAAAATCATCGTAAATTCATCGGTTTCAGTTTCTGTTAATACGAGGAATGGATATCGTTTCAAGTTTTCGGTAAAATACTGTCTATCTACTATAGTTGCTAAGTCGTGCATTTATGTACTGTGATAACAGAATAAATTTTAAAAATATTAATTATCAAAAAAAAAACATGGAGCAAAACATTATAGAAAAATTATGGACAACCTAAGACACAGCTTCTTTGAAATAATAATCACATTTTGAGCTACAGAAGGGAAAATACACAGGAGGAGCAGTTGAGGAGGATAATTAAATAATTATGTCATGTGTTCTAAATCCGTGTCATCTCCTCTTCGAATCCACGTAACATTAACGTGGCAAACTGACGGACGTCTGACAGAAAAAGGAAGAATAATATCAGAATTTTGAGTCGAATCACAATTTCTATCACATTTCTGAAACTGATATTTTATCGTCGAAAAGGAAAACGTTTGAAATTTACTCTTTAAAAAGCTGATCAATGTAGTTCAAGAACTAGTAACGATAATTAAAATATATCAATTTTCTTCGTTGGAAATGTTTGATTTTTTCAGTTTCGCTAGATTTTTAAAACAATCCACTTGTGAAGTTGAGCTATTTTATTTTGCATGTTGTTAAAAGACTGGCACTGATTTTCTTAGGCATTTCAGATACAAGAAATCACTTTTCTCTTTTTAGAACCTATTCAGATTTAAAAAATTAGGCTAATTTTGGATTACTAGTTTTTACAGATGCTCTGGAAAATCATTAGTAAGATATGATTAAAATATAGGGATTCTTGTAGCACATCTTCCCGAATTATGATTTTTTTGATTATTCGAGTTTGGCACTTTTGTGAATCCGGAACAAAACAATGAGAAATTTTTTTTTCACAGAACCATCTTTAATTAAAATTCATATAAAAAACTAATTGTTTATTGTCATTGAATGAAAAGAAAAGGTTTCCGTAAGTAACTGAACATACAACATTTCAAAAAAAACATCTGATTCTTTGTGGAAATTTTGAAACTAATAACAATTGTTTTTGCTTTCTTTGTGTCGAAAAAAATCACCAGAAATGTCTTTTTTCAGTGATTGCTTATCAAATAAGAAAATTCCCGTATTAACAGAAACTGAAATTGGTGAATTTATGATGATTTTGAAACGGAGAAAATTTTTGGAAAAAAATTAACCCAATTTATTTCGGTTCCTGTAAGAAACATCAAACAGTGGTCAACAATGGTCGAATGTTTTTGACAATGTGATAAGCAATCACTTTTTTTATATCTTAAATTTGATCCGACATAACTTGGCTGAAAATGGAAAAAATCATACTTGTAATCCGAGCCTTTGCCGGGCCTTCACGGGCCCTGCCATAATTACTTTCAGAATCTGTATTTTCGAACCAACTAAATCAGATAGGATAGAGCTCTACGAGTACTACAAAACGGTATTATTTGGAATACTGTATCTTATCTATGAACAAAGTTACAGATCATAAAGTGGTTATTCTCGCAGGGCCCGGCAGGCGCGGGCCGGGCCTGCTTTTTTTGTTCCTTTTGCTCTGTAACTCTGTTCATAGACAAGATACAGTGTTCCAAATAATACCGTTTTGTAGTACTCGTGGAGCTCTATCATATCTGATTTAGTTGGATCAAAAATACAGATTCTGAAAGAAGTTATGGCAGGGCCCGTGAAGGCCCGGCAAAGGCCCGGATTACAAGTATGGAAAACATAAGTTGAGATTGGTAATGAAAGCAGTCATCTGTCTTTAAAAACAAATTGTTATGATTCCGACATAAATGCTGCAGGGACATCAAATTAAGTAGTTTCAAAATTCAATGAAAATACGGATAATGTGAAACAGGATTTCAACTTCATCACCCATTATGGTGTTATTCAGCTAGGTAAAAAACCTGGTTTTTTACCTGGCCTAAAAGGTAAACAACCTACCACTTGAGACACTTTTTGCAAGTGTTCCCTATCCAAAAGTGTCACGCGTCATGTCCCATATTCTCAATGTATGGCTCAAAATGACAGCCTTCGAAAAATCCCACAAAATGGAATACGGTATCAAGCGGAGCCCAGGAGGTTTATTCCTGAAGGGCAGTAACTCGAAAAAAAGGCATTTATCATTTGCAACTTTGATTGGATATATCTCGGTTCCTGTAAAAGATATTTAAAAAAAATCTGAAAACGAAAATGTTTGTCTTTGTATCAGAAACATTTTATCAGTTAAACATTTTTTGATATCTCAAACAGGAAACGAGATGATTAGGAGCAAAGAAACTCTCTCTTTAAAGAGTTTCACACATTTCAAATAGTGAAAATCCAAGTGTTTTTCTAAACGTGGTGAAACATTTATTTGTTTATAAAAAAATCCGCGTCGCCAAAAAAAGTTTTAAAAAAATTTAAAGTCTCCACAAAAAAAAGCGACGTAAAAAAGCGAAAATCCTTGATGCCCCATTGACCTCTGGGAGATTGCTATAAAAGGAGAGGAAAATGAAGAGAAAAATCAGTTCGCGCCTTCTAGGGGGTTCTGAGAGGGATCCTGGGGCCTGGGGCCTGGGGCCTGGGGCCTGGGGCCTGGGGCCTGGGGAATCTGAAATCCCGGGTCCTGAGTTTAGAATCCGGACCCATGGATCCTGACCCCAGATCCCGGATTTAGAACCCATGCTATCCGGATCCCTTCTCCGGCTCCCCTCTCTGGAGTCCAGAGAAAAATGGTATACAGAACAGTATTTTTCAAAATCAAGTAATACATCAGTAAACGAAAGTGTTTTAGACAAGGTCACATTTTTATAAATGCGCTAACAACATCATCTTATTGTTCCATTTTGCTGCGTCCAGATTTTCAAAAAGCTCTTGAAACTGTCATTCCTGTTTGTAACGCTGAATATTGAAATACTGTATTTGAGTTTCTCGAAAAGTTTTAAAGAACCTTCTGGCAAAATTTTAAAATCACGAAATTTCGAAAATATACAGAGTAAATAAAACATAGCGATTGTCTTCTAAAAGTTTTCACAATCTTATGGCACTATTGAAATAAGATAGTTTTGAAATTTTGCGCACCCAACTTTAATCCAATTTATTTCGGCTCCTGTAAAAGATATCAATAGGTGATAAACTGATAAAATTTCACTGAAAACATGATAAACGATTTGTTAGTTGATCACTTTTTCATATCTATGACAGGAAACGAGATAAATTGGAACAAACTTTTTTCTGTTCCAATTTTTTGGTAAAAAACTGTCTATCTTTTCCTAGTATAACTGATTGAAATCAAGTAAATAAAAATTGTTCATTTTCAGAAAAACATGGAGCAAAACATTATAGAAAAATTATGGACAACCCGAATAGACACAGTTTCTTTGAAAAATAATCACATTTTGAGCTACAGAAGAGAAAAGACACAGGCGGAGCAATTAAGGGGGATAATTAAAAAATTAATTTAAATAATTATGTCATGTGTTCTAAATCCGTGTCACCTCCTCTTCAAATCCACGCAACATTGACGTGGCAAACTGACGGACGTCTTCTGAGGCATCGTGTTCGGCGACATAGGCGATTTGTTTCGAGATTCGTGGGTTCTGGAAGAATCTGATTTTTAAGGGTTCAGGTTTCTAGCTCTAAAGCTTCGAAACTGTCATAAGTTGCGGTCTTCAATAAATTCGAAAAAATCCTGTTTCATAGTTACCATAACCATATTTTACTTTTTTCAACGGTGTTAATCATTGACCTAGATGAGACTTACATCAAAAATAGCGAGAGCTTTGAGAGCTCCAAGTCTTGCGTCCTCTGAGTCATCCTCCAAAAGACATAGGTACGAGGAGAGAAGATCCGACTGAAGATGACCAGAAGCTGCTCGAAGGTATTGTTCTGGAATAAGTATTTTTGGAAACCGAAAAACTGTAGCTATTGTCCGATTATGTTTTCGAACTACTTCATGAACTTTCTGGAACAGCAAATATATTTAATTGTTATCGTTGTGATCCTGATGTGTTGTCTGAGCTATTTACGATGGTGGCCTGACTTTTGCTTGTTTTCGCCCCCCCCCCCCCCAAAATTAGGTCATCAAATTAAAATGGACTAGAATCCACAAAGGTACTAGGTCGCAAAAGCCCTTACCTATAATCACTGCGATCCTGAAATCCGCTCGTGCTAACAATACACCCAAATGTTTCAGAGACTCCAATGGTGGCACCACTGGAACATTCGATAGTCGATCCACAACTTGAGCCACTTTTTGCAAGTGTTCCGTATCCAAAAGTGTCACCATCCACGCGTCATGTCCCATATTCTCAATGTATGGCTCAAAATGACGGCCTTTAAAAATTCCCACAAAATGGAATACGGTCACATGTGGGCATTGATCGTTTTGAACATTGTCGTTGAGAAGACGGATGATCGATTCGGCAACTGGAAATAGTTTCGTATTGTAGCTCTCGTTAAAGTCTACATTTTACTTTTTGATTGAAACAGAAATAGTGAGTTTGAACTGTTGGGAGTCGGAAAGTGGGCAACCACTGGACGACCCATAACTCAGCTCAAACTTGGAGTTTTAGTATTAATTAAAATGGACACTGTAAAAATGAACAATGTCTACAAAACGATATATGATTCCACTATATGCGACAGATGAGTTTTGAGCCAGAGGTCGTTAAGCAGGAGGGCCAAAAAAAACCGAAAAATCGGCGCTGGGAGTGCCGACCATTTTGGCTAAAAACTGGGCTAGCGAATACAGTTGAATTATATATGTGGTTTTGTAAATCTTGTTTCGTACATTTTACTTCAAAAATCAAGCGGAAATGTTAGGGTTTTTTTTTTTTTTTTTTTTTTTTTTTTTTTTTAGGTTTGAACCGAGTTATGCGCCAGACAAGTTGTTGTCTTGGGTTGGACCGTCAACCCAAGAAGTATCACCTAATTGGAGCGCATGCGAAAATGTCCTGTTTTAAAAGTGTCATAAGATTATGGGAACTTTTTGGAAAACATTCCGTGAATGTTGGCAGTTGCACAAAATGATCTCAGAAATTTTTTCGAAATCCAAAGCAAAAAGCCAACCTTACCTCGACTAACAAGATGCGGATAGATCTGTTCTGTGATATGTGCGATTTGCAGTTTGATTTGTGTCTTCAACTTGTCCTTCGGCACAATTAACGACGAATTCAATGGATAACATGTAGATAGCCAGATCTCCTGCACCTCAGGACAAGCTTCAATCTCTGTGAGCACATTTGAAATATTGGGGAGAGCTGGCGCACTTTTGGCGATCCTCAGAAGATCGTCAAGGGTCACAGTTTCCACTTCCAACCGTTTCAACATTTCTGACGTCTTGTAGACTAGCGGGCAGTCCGTCTCGATGCTCTCGAGACTCTGGAAGAATGTTTAAAGGTTCATACACTTTTTTAATTTCAAGGCTCACCTCCAAACACTTGAGAATCCTCATGAGATGGTACTGTAGACAAGTGTCGACTTCTGAACTTCCTGTGACTGTTTGGTTAGCATCATCATTACAAGCCGTCTGCCAGAAATAGTCACTTTCCAGATACAGCTTCTCAATTTCCGATGAATCCATTAGTGCGCCAAGGGACTTCCTTCGTTCCTTGAGTTGTCGGAATCGGGCGCCCTCTCTACTTCCCTTTGAGCCATTCTTACTGTAACCATCGAGTACGTAGGGTGAGCAATTCTGTCGTAGCGAGTCGATACCACTGTCGTTTTCGGAGCTGAAAATGAGGATTGGTTAGAGTGTAACTGAGTTTGAACTGGTCGGCCCGGGTCAGCCCTTAGCCGGCCCATAACTTGGTTCCTGCTGTTTAAATATCATTTTGTAGATCTTGTTTGGCACTATAGTTGGCTTTTTAATTTATTCTGAAATTCTATGTATGTCAAAACCGAGTGATGGATTGGCTAGTGATTCAACTACATGTGTTCTAATGTCGACAACCAACGTCGACCAATGGTCGGCCAGGTTTAAAACCTGAAACCCAGAGCCGGGCCAGCTAACAAATATATTGTTTAAAAACTCACTGTATCTCATTGGTTATCAATACATTGTCATCCAATTCATCTGACGCTGTTGATGACGTCATCGGATGGTTGCGTGGCAAGGAATTCATCGAGTGCATCGACGGTTTTTTGGCTTGTGAGGAACCCTTCTTATTCATCTTAATCAGCGTATGCCACTGGGTGAGTAGATTCACCAAACTGCTCAATTCATCATATTCCCTATACATCCGACTTGCTTTTGGTTGAATCTCCTCAATCAGTTCCAGAAGACCTCCTCCCACATCCGACGACGCTACCGTACTATTATCACTAGTCTCCACGGAATTCTTAAACTTCCTATTGAATTCTCTTGTGGTATCCGGTGTAGTAGCTCCAAGTTGAGCCAAACTCTGACTCCGTTTTCCCATTAGAGTCGAAGATGACATTGGTGAGTAGCTAGTGAAGTTTTTGAACTCCCGCTGCTTGGATGATGGTGCTGGTAGGGTTCCAGTTTGCATCATTGGTTTCCGAAGGTCTAGGGTTGACATGGCATCAACGGAGGGGATAGTTTTTGCCACATCTAGATAAATGGAATCTAGCATGTTTGTGGAGTTCCTCCATTGCTCTTTCATAGCTACACGGGCAGCGGATCCTCGCTTCTTTTCTCGAAGTACGATTCGTGGTTTTCGATCGATTGTGGCTTCTCCGTCCATTGGAATTGTTGGAAGTGTTGGGGCGATGGTGGGTTTCGTGGAGGTTTTTGAGGCGAGCAGAGGTCTGGAAATGGGACTTTTAGGGAAGGAGAGACAGTAGTTTCAAAATTTTTTTATGATCCTTTAAGAATCTTGATTCAAAGTTAACCATTGAAGTTCACATTTTGGGACTCCATTTAATTGCCCATCAGAAATATATTTGTTTTACTAACTTATCTTATGTTTGTATAACTGAAATTTTCAGTAACTTGATTATCTATGATTCATTTAACACTGCACGCTCTCCCACAGAACATTTCCGAACTGCAAATTAATTTTTGATCTACAGAAAAAAAGTTTGTCGAGATCACAATTGCAGGTCTAAAACCATGATTTCAGAATTTTTTATCTGATTTTGTGGAGTTCCAAGATGATTCAAATGATTCTTAAAAAATTAATTAGTGGTTATAGATTCATGTATGGTCCTTTTCCGGAAGAAAAAAATGTCAAAAATGGTCATTTTTGAAAGTTTTTTACAGAAAAAATCTATCTTCTCTTTCAGTTTTAGACATTCCTTCAGTTTTCTTTCAGTTTTTCAGTTTTAGACACACATACACGCAATTATTTTTTCGTACATTTTCATATGGATGAATTTTTAATTCGTCTGATAAAACTTTTTTTATAATTCAAAAACATCATGAAATTGCACAAAATCGCAATTTTGCGTTGTTTTT